TAACATACATGCATTTCTATGAGTGATTTCTATTTCTATTTCGACAGTAACATAAATTTTAAAAGATCTTTTTTTTGTTCTATGAAACTTATAAGTAATATATGATATTACCATTTAAAGATTTTTTTACAGAATTTAGAAAATATTTGTATGACGACAAACAAACAAACAAAAGAAAAAAAGAAAAAAAAGAGAGAAAAACATTTTTAAATAAAAAAAAGAAAAAAATAATGATATATTGTCTTTTGTTTTATATCATAATAATACATGTAACCAACAACAACAACAACAACGAAAACAGCAAAAACAAAAAAATATATTTTTCTCGGTATAATGACATTTCTGAAATTGAAATCAATAAGACTTCAAATGAAAAATAATATCAGAAGGGGTTTATGGAGATTTTTACAAATTTCACAGATGGAAATCATGAGTCAATTGAAGCTAGACCACCATGGAATATATGAAAGCACTGGACGGCCGTTTCGTTCTAGTATGGGACTCCTCAGCAGTGCGCATTCACGATTACGCACCACGCACCACCAGGTTTTCCATGGTCGTCTAGCTTCAATTAACTCATGATTTCAATCTGTGAAATTTATAAAAATCTCCACAAGCCCCTTCTGGTAATAATCAACTGCTCACTAGTGACTGACTTCAGGAGATACTCCTGGAGTTCTAGTGAGAAGTCGTTACCAGTGGAGTTCAACCAGGTCTGTTGGGAGATAGCAAATCACTGAAGATAATGGTGCACGGTGGAGCAACTTCGTGGATTGGTTGAAGTTAGACATTAACACCGTTGGATGCCGGCTCAGTTATCTAGTGGTCAAGTGCTCGCGCGCGAAGCCAGTAGGTCCTGGGTTCGAACCCCGCGTGGTGCGGGATCGTGGATGCGCACTGCTGAGGAGTCCCTCAATAGGACGAAACAGCCGTTGGGTGCTTTCAGGTTTTCCATGGTGGTCTATATATAATTGACTCATGATTTCAATCTGTGAAAAATAATATTTTCATTTATGCAATTTCTTCTTCCTTTTGTCCATTCAAATTTTATTTTTTCCTTCTTTTTTTTACTTATGTTTTATCTATCAGTAAGGTATTTGTCTATTAGGATTTAGTTGCTAAGTGGATAATGTGATATGGGTTTGAAGTGAATGGTATTGGGTTCAAGTCTTAGAGTGAACATCAACTCTCAGATACAAGTATATTCAGTTGATGAGTCCAAAATAGGATGGAAAAGTATAGTGATGGTAAGACAACACCAACTTGAATGACTCTTACGGTCTTCCATATTGTATGAGTATTCCATGTATCTAAATTAATAGTTGATCTGATTGTTAGAAAGAGCATCAGTCTCGTGAATTCTGAAGGAATTCGGCTTTCAACATGAGACGTCATAACTCTTCTTAGTGAAGACCTTCTAACTTCCAGGGCAGAATTGAAATGGTTTGAATTATTTTTTTCTGGTTAGCGTTTTTTAGCGAGTTAGTTTTTTACGGGATGGGATCACTAACCCCATGCTCAAATCTCTTCCTTTATTCGTGCCTGGGACCGGCAGTGGCCCCATAGGGGCTCCAGGGTGAGTTAACAAGACAAAAATGTTAATTTTAACATTTATCACTCTCTCATTTGTATACTGTACTTATTAATTGTAAAAGCGAATAGTATTCTACGTAGCTATTCTGTGATTTTTAATGACTGTTAGTAGTATAATACAATATGACTGCTTACTGGTTTATGAGAATTCTTGAAATAATGAGGTAACATCTCAGTGTTAGAACTCAAATTTAATACCAAGTGATTATCTACAAGGTTATGAATCCCTGATAGCTTACTTACTTACTTACTGACGCTTTCTACTCCCAATGGAGCAGAGTCCACCAACCACCATTCTCGAACACACTCTGTCCTGGACCTTCCTTTCAAGTTCTGTCTAATTGCTGTTCATTCTTCTCATGTTTATCTCCATTTTTCGGCGTGATGTGTTCTTTGGGTCCTCTTCTTTTCCTTTGGCATTGAGGATTCTATGTGAGGTCTTGCTTTATGACACAGTTGGATGCTTTCCTCAATTTGTGTTCTATCTACTTCCAGAAGCACTTGAAGTGGTTAGGTATGATAGATATATTTATTATTATTAGACTTTGGATTCATTCGACAAAAGTAGATATTGTGATTTAGAACAACATATATCAGGTTTTACTCTAATATAGCCTGATGATGATCTAATCCGAAACAATATTGTTTGCTTGTATATATTGTTCTAAAAGCGGATATCAACACAACTTTTAATGATTCATTATATATATGTATAAGATCTTCAGTAACACATTATTACAGACAAAACATACCTCACACAATAAATGAAGATAATGTACTAAATTTTTGGGGTTTCTTTTTTTCGTTTATTTTCGTTGATTGAATGGATTATCTCCTTTCCGTATTCAATTTTTTTCATTTATTTAACTTTTTATGTTTTATTCATGTTACATCATTAATAATATTTAAAACATTTGTTGTATCTAATCAATTGTCCGACATAGTCAAATTGCTGACATTTAAATAACTCATTAACTTTTGTCAGATCACTTAGGTAACTATGAAAATCTTTTGCTTCTTGTTTTTTTTTTTATCTCTAAGATTCTGGTCAAATTTTAATGTAAATGAATGATCTATCATTTTAGATATTGATCCGAAGTGATCTGTCCAATCACACAGGAATTCACATGACAATCGACTACTATGAAAGCTTATAACTACGTACTGCTTTACTTACTTACTTACTTACGCCTGTTACTCCTAATGGAGAATGTGCCGCCGACCAGTATTCTTCAACCCACTCTGCCCTGGGCCTTCTTTTCTAGTTCCCTCCAATTCTTGTTCATTTTTCTCATGTCTATTTCCATTTCCCTGTGTAATGTGTTCTTCTTTGGTTTTCCTCTTTTCCTTTGGCCTTCAGAATTCCTTGTGAGGGCTTGTCTTGTGACGCAGTTGGGTGCTTTCCTCAATATGTGTCCTCTCCACTTCCAGCGCTTCTTCCTGATTTCTTCCTCCGCTAGGATCTGGTTTGTTCTCTCCCACAGTACGTTGTTGCTAATAGTGTCCGGCCAACGGATCTGAAGTATTTTGCGTAGACAACTGTTAATAAACACCTGTATTTTCTGGATGATGGCTTTCGTAGTTCTCCAGGTTTCTGCGCCATACAGTAGAACTGTCTTAACATTTGTATTAAAAATTCTGATTTTGGTGTTGGTTGACAGTTGCTTTGAGTTCCAGATGTTCCTTAGCTGTAAATATGGTGCTCTTGCTTTGCCGATCTGCGCCTTTACATCTGCATCGGATCCATCCTGTTCATCAATGATGCTGCCTAAATATGTAAAGGTTTTTACATCTTCCAAATCGTCTCCGTCAAGTGTGATTGGATTGGTGCATACCGTGTTGTATCGGAGAATCTTGCTTTCCCCTTTGTGTATATTGAGACCTACTGCTGCCGAGGCAGCTGCCACACTGTTCGTCTTCTCCTGCATTTGTTGTTGCGTTTGGGATTGAAGGGTCAGATCATCTACGAAGTCTAGATCGTCCAATCGCATCCTAGATGTTCATTGTATCCCGTGTTTCCTTTCAGACGTTGACGTCTTCATGATCCAGTCGATCACCAGGAGAAAGAGAAAGGGTGAGAGTAAGCAACCTTGCCTAACACCAGTCTTTAGTGATAAGTAAATAAAAAAAAGTGTATGTCTAATACAATCGTTGATTTCAAACGCTAGTAAGTTAATTCTTGACAAATTATTACTTTAAAACAATAGATGAGATCATGAGTGAATCATGGAAGCATTGGACGGTCATTTCGTCCTAGTGTGGGACTCCTCAGTAGTGCGCATCCACGATCCCGCCTGAAGAGATTCGAATCCAGGATCAATCAATGTTGCGTACGAATACTTAATCTCTAGACCACTGAACCGACCGGCATTCAAAGTTGTTAATTTCTAATTTCAACTAATCCACGAAATTGAACGACATATCCACCATCTATTCAGAAAAAAAATAATTTATAGGGATTTTCAATAATAAATGTAAAACAGTAAACAACCCATAGATATTTCATGCTTACTTATAACTGCTTAGTACAACATACCTATGATCAAGGTGATGATCTCGCACACACACACACACACACACAATATTCATTCATCTTTTATAATTGGCAAAATTCGTTTCTAGTATTCGGACAAAATTCAATGGTTTATTAATCCAATTTCAGTCAATTCATTATATTAATTAATCAAGATTCATGTGTTGTCAATAGAGAAAATGTTTTACTCTGAACATGTGAATAAAAGCACTATTAAAAATATTGATTTACTGATGAAATAACGAAACAATTTATAATGTAAACTCATTTGACATGAAGGTAAAGAGAGTCAGCTCTCCCTCTTCAAATGCTCTCAAATAGTCAGACATTTACAGTCACTATCATGGAAATTCTACATAATAACATCTTATGGTGAGAGTGTTGTTTACGAAATTCAAGGGACGAAATGCGAATGTATGACGCTTTAACAAGGTTGATGGATATAGAGGATTCATTTCGGGGGTTAGGGTTGGAAAACCATGATTTCAAACTGATAGTGCATATGGGCTTCAGGATCCTAAGGAAATAAATGATGTATGAACCTATTCTTGGTGACCAATTACCATAGTACTGCATCTTCCAACGTTTCTTCACTGTTTTGTAGACTAGACCTTCAGGTTAAAGGTTATGTGCGCAGACCAAATGACAAAATGAGTGAACCTCATATATATTTGATGCCTCCTTTGTACCAATGTTTATATGCTTAAATACATAAAAAATAATTAAAATGTGATATGTAGAATAAAATAAACCTTATTCATGTTATCACTGATGTTTATCAATGACAAATATTGATTTTCTTTATTATGTTTATTTAATTAAAATAATTTTTTTTCTTTTTTTTTCTTTTTTTTTTATAATTTCAATGAAATAGCTTTCATCCAGATTCATATATTGCTAATAAACGAAAATATAAATCTAATTATAATGAAACATATCATAGATTAAATGATTTAATAAATTTACAACATAGTTCTACAGAATACAATTTAAATACAACCATTACTACTACTGCTACCACTACTACTACTACTAATACTACTAACAATAATATCAGTAGTTTATCATGTCCTATAACTATGAATACAATCAATTCTATCAAATCATTAACACCAATTTCAATTAAAATTCAACAAAATAATAAACAATTAAATCAATATGAATTAGATCATTCAATAAGTGATATATGTTCAACAAATTCATCATTATCAGATCATACTACTAATGGTATAAATTATTCCTATCCAAGTCATTCATTATCATTATCATTAAATAGAGATAAAAGAAAAGATCATCATACTAATATTATCACTACCAATAATAATAATGTATGTTATAAACATCGTACATTACCATTATTACCTAATTCAAATGAATATCAACACCACCACCACCACCACCACAACAACAACAACAACAACCACAACCATCGTCACCACCACCAACAACAACACCAATATCCTTATATTCCATTAACATCATCTCAATTAATTACACCAAATATAACATGGCGTATAAAAAATTCAAAAGAAAATTATTATAATAAAAAATTATTAAAATTAATTGAACAATTACCATGTAATAAACAAAATTCAATTGGTTTAATATTATTAACAATGGATGTGAAATTATGTAATTCTATACATAATCCACCCAATATTAATCATAATCATAATGGTAATAGTAATAATAATACTAGTAGTCATAGTAACAGTAATAATACTGGTAATTATTCAGATATATTCATTGGTGGTTTAGAATATCGTCTACGTGAAGCATTACAATTAGTGGAACCAAATAATAAATTAATGAATGAATTTGATTATTGTCATTATAGAACAATAAATGAATTAAATAAAATAGATTTAAATAAAATTATTGATGTTCGAAGTAGGAAGTAAGTGATGAATAGTGTAATGTATGATATTTTTTTATATTTTAATTTGTTTCATTTGAAAGAAAGATAAAAGGGGTATCATTAGTGATTAGAGATAGTTAGTTAATTATTTATTTTATTTCAACACATAAATATTGGTACAAGGGGGGGGGCACCAGAGATATATGCGCTATACAAAACAATGAGGATTTGAAGAGAAAAAGGAAAAAAAGGTGAGGAGTGTAATAAAAAGAACAATAACGAACAGATTACTGTGAAGTAGTGTAACAGTAATAAAAATTATAATAATAATAATGGGAAGGGAGGACGGAAAGGTACAGCCAGAAGGAATTTTTCAGTTAAGGAAGAAGCAATCACTTTTTATGAAGAAAGTAAAAGAAGGTTACAGCAGGATTGCCACTGGCTTCTATTCTGAGCCATATCTGATAACGTCTCTAGCCACTGTGTTGCACCATCTCTCGGACCCTGACCAGGGAGTCGTGAAGAACCAATAGAAGACAGCCTTTTGTAGCTCTCTTTCATACCACGACACCATGTCATACACTGACCACCTCTCCGCTTTTTCCAATCAGCCCCAGAATCGTCAACTAATGCACGACGTGGAATCCCCCGAGATGACATTCGTAGAACATGTCCAAGACACCGAAGTCGGTGTTTCGAGATGGTGACACCAATTGCATTATCGTCTCTGTGCCCGAACACACGATGCTAAACCTCTGCATTACTGACATGGTGTTGCCACTGAATGTCAGCAATCCTTCGCAGACAGCGATGATCGAACACAGAGAGTCGTCTAACATCCTCAACTAAGAGAGGCCAGGTTTCACAAGCATGGAGCAAAACTGCTCTCACTGACGCGTTGTAAATCCGACCTTTTACGGCCAGACTAACATCACGAAGGCGCCAAAGGTGGCCAAGATTGGCATAAGCCGCTCTGGCTTTCACTATACGTACACTGATTTCATCACTCACACCCCCACCAACACTTATGCAGCTACCTAGATACACGAACTTCTCGACTATTTCTATTTTCTCACCATCCAGGGTGAGTACAGGATTAGGATCCTGCCAGTCATGAAGAAGTAATTTGCACTTCGAAGGTGCAAAGCACATACCATACCTACGGACACTGATTGCCAACTGATTAAGTGCGGATTGCATGCCTTGGGCATTATCGCATAGTAAGACAATGTCATCCGCATACTCAAGGTCGAGAAGTCTTTCTCCAGGCAACAGATCCACACCACCATTACTTACATCCATCAGAGCTGTTTCCAGAATGTCATCGATGGCAAAGTTGAAGAGGAATGGTGAGATTGGGCAACCCTGCCTAACCCCACTGCTCGAATGGAACAATGGAGAGAGGTGGTTGTATGCCCTCACTCTACCTGAGGTGTTTGTATATGGGGTCTTTAGAATGCTAATAAAATAGTTAACAAGAAACTATGGACTTAGGTTTTTATACTATTTGACACACTCATATGGTGTACCCATGTTATCCAGATTCACAGTCAATGGTAATGTCTTTGACTGTGAGTTCGATTGACGCAGAATCGAGATGTGAAGACGATTCATGGGTGAATTTAAGGAAGCTCTAAGGAGCTTAAAAAGAGCTGAAGATATTCTGCCTAATCATTTTTTCGGAAGAATATTGCATAATCTCTACGTGTAGCTTTCCTATTGGATTGGATAATTTTGTAATGATGATTTTGTTTTTATTAAAAACTATAAATACCTGACAGTTTTGTATCATAATTGACATTGTTAGGAATAACATTCCTTTCACTTGTCTTCTGTCTTTTCATTAGCGTCGAGTGCTCAAGTTATACACGGCATAGCAAGAAGCTGAAATCTATATATAACATGAACCCGTCAGACAGCATCATTTCCCTCAAGATAACAGGTACACATTGATGACATGTGCTAAGTAGCACGAAACCTAGGTCCAGGGTTCCCTGTTGACTAATTCCAACCACCATCTTATCTCGACATAGTCCACGTAATGTCGACTCATCTAAACTGGTGGCGACATTGCAACTTGGTCGATAGAATTTGATCTACACAAAATAGGACCTGACATACATGATATTGGTCACCACTCAGTGATTAATCAATTGTAAAGATAGAGAATGGCTACTAGTGGAATTCAGGACACGCGTTTCATTCTACTTAGGATGTCGGCCGGCTCAATGGTCTAGAGGTTAAGTGTTCAAGTGCGAGACCGATAGATCTTGGGTTTGAATCTCCTGAGGCAGTATCATGGATGCACACTACTGAGGATTCTCACACTAGGACAAAACGGCTGTCCAGTGCTTTTAGGTTTTCAATGATAGTCTAGCTTCAATGAACTTACGAATTCAACTAATAAAATAATTATCAGAAGGGGTTTTGTGGAGATTTTAGAAATTTCACTGGTTGAAATCACGAGTCAATTGAGGCTAGATCACCACCGAAAACCTGGAAACACTGGACGGCCGTTTCGTCTTAGTGTGGGACTCCTCAGGAGTGTGCATCCATTGTGGTCTAGCTCCAATTGACTCATTATTCCAATCGGTGAAATTTCTAAAATGTCCACAAAACCCCTTCTGATAGTAATCATCTGCTCACTAGTGACTGACTTCAAGAGACATTTCCCGGAGTTCCAGTGAGAAGTCGTTACCAGTGGAGTTCATCCAGGTCTGTTGTGAGATATCAACTCACTGAAGATAATGGTATACAGTGGCGCAACTTCGTGGATTGGTTGAAGTTAGACATTAACACCGTTGGATGCCGGCTCAGTGGTCTAGTTGGTTAAGCGCCTGGTGCGAGAGCGGTAAGTCTCGGGTTCGAATCTCGCGAGGGGCGGGATCGTGGATGCGCACTGCTGAGGATCATCATACTAGGACGAAACGGCCGTCCAGTGATTCCAAGTTTCCCATGGTGGTCTAGTTTCAATTGACTCATGATTTCAACCAATATTAAAGTAATTAACTGTAAATTCATCAATTTCCATCTCTATTTCCTCATTGATTTAAAATGTTTTGTTTTCTTAAACATTGTTTTACAACATGAGAATATTATTATTTTTTACCCGTTTTTTTCTCTAAATGATAAAACTACATTGACTTTGTAATGTATTTTCATGTCAACAATAATGTCTTGAATGATTGAAATCATCATACATTTCCATCATATATATATATATATATACATGATGTACTTTAGTAATACTTACCCTTCTAAACAGTTTGCATTATTTCTTTGTAATAGATTAAATGTGAAACCCATCAACAACAACAACAACAAAAGTACAATATGAAGTGTACAAATGAATTATGTCATTAAAATTGAAGTGTATACACAACTTCTGTTCATAAATATGCATATTTTCTTTTCTTTTTCTTTTTCTTTTTTTTCAAAAAAAAGAGAAAAACTTCAGTGACACATTTAAAATAAATAAAACAGACATATATGATAGTTAGTCAAGGAATTAGTTTCAATAGTTGAAATCATGAATCGATTGAAACCTGGAAGCACTGAACGGCTGTTTCGTCTTAGTATGGGATTCCTCAGAGGTGAGCATCTATGATCCCATACGAGAACGAAACGACCGTTCAGTGCTCTTAGGTTTTCCATGGCAGTCTAGCTTTAATTGACTCATGATCTAAACTATTTAAATTTCTAAAATCTCCACAAAACCCGTTGTGATAAGAAACGAGTTGTATACACTTTTTCTGTATATAAATCAGAGAAACTTGTTGAATATAGGCAATATGGCTAAACGTCGAACACAATGATCCATCCATATAAGTAGTATATAACGATATTTAAGAATACAATGTATTTCAGTAGAAGATTAAGGAGGAAACAATAGGAACAGAAAGCAATTAGTCTGAAAATGAATAAACAATGAAATCTGAGACGATAGACTGAGATTTGCAAAAGGAAACAGTCAAGTTTGAGACAACTGATTGATATTTTGTAAATGAAGTACTTACTATGTGGTTCTCAGATTGTATTAAGATGTTCGGTAATTTTGTATTCAATTACATTCTATTTTCCCCACATGTTTTCATGTTCACTACAATATTTCTTGACTGTGTTCAACTCCACTGATTGTGGTATTCTTTACAACTATTTACCCTGGTACGACCGAGATTGCGGAGAGTCCGCTCTCCCTCTCGAAGTACTCTCACATGACCATGCGTATATAGCCTCTGCCAAGGAAGTCCTACTCATTGCATTCTCACACCAGGAGTGTTGTTTACTAAATTGAGAAAACGAAAAGCGAATGTCCGGCGCTTCAACCGGGTTGGTGGATACGAAGGGTCTACCTAGAGGAGTTCGAAAACCCTGGTTACAAGCCAATGGTGCACATAGGCTCCAATATCCTGAAGGAACACATGGCGTATGAACCAATTGTTGGTCACCGTCTACCATGAGACTGCATCTCCTTACGTTGCTCCACTGCCTAGTGGATCAGATGTCCAGGTCGAAGGCTCGGGGTGTGGTTCCCTAAGAAAACCACTTGCTTCGGTTCGGGCACCCAGGTAATATCACAGCCCTCACACATATAAAATGAGGTTTGTGTGGTGCATATGTATTTGGTGCCTCCTTGTACCAATATCTATGTGTTAAAATAAATAAATAAAAATTGTTTGTCACTAAAGAGTCTATCGTAAAAATACATAAAGTTTGAGAAGATTCTTTACTGAAAAACCAGTGTTTGGACTAGAATTTATGGGAAGTGATCATTGGAATTAGTAACCCACTGCAGCGTTCTCCATAATTGCTTACTATCCTCACTTTTATTCATCTTCACCAAAGAGAACCCTTTTGAGATAATATTTTCTCATTTCGTCTTTCTAAAGATTGATCTCCTATCAAGAAGTTAACTTGTTAACGTATAATATGTAGATGATATAATCCTATGCAGTAAAATGTAAGAAAATACAAAATCTTCAGACTGTCTCTATCAACAATACAAGAATATTTAGGGTGCATTTCCTTCTCTCTGTATTATCACCTAGATCGATCACAGAGATCGAAATATTAACATGAGTTGACTATTCTACTTCTCTTTATCTCATTGACACTGATGGGTTGATGGCTAACAAAACACCGACTAGAGAAAGTGAACGGTATTGTCGAGGCTTGAACGTCGTAATTTCGATCTTTTGTGTGGTTATAGATGAGTACAGCCTGTGAGGAGCCCCCATACCAGGAGGAAACACCTGTCTGATGCCTTCGAGTTTTTTAACGGTCTCTAACTGAAATCAGCCACTGATGTCAAACTTCATATATGTATACATGATTTCATTTAAAACATGGGCATGTGAATCCTATAGGAAACTATTCTAAATACTGTTTCTAACTTCTCTATGTTGTTTCCTAGAAATGTCAGTGAATCCAAAAAATCATCAACCAACTTTGCTAAAGAATCACCTAAAGAAGATGGTCGTGAATCTGGAATAGATCCAGATACATTAGACGAAACATCAACATCAATGATTGGAAATTCTTTAAGCTTAAATGATATGAAATATACTACTAATGATCTTAGTCATACTACTGAAGTACACAAACCAAATGTAATTACAATATTAAGACGATTAGCAAGATATTTAGCTTTACGGATAGCAAATAAACGTCATAGTCTAGCTACAGCAAATCAACATGTTGCAAGAAATGCCATTGAAGAAAAACTTGTAAGTAGTCTATTATAATATTTTATTTACATTTTCTGTTTTCTCATTAATTAAGTAACTAGAGTAAGGAGTTTGTCATTTTTATAATGAAAGGAAGATAACTATTAAAGAATAATGAACAACATGACATGAATGTATATCCACTCATTTTAATCTATTTCATTTGTCAAATGATATGATTCTCAATTAGTGTTAATGATAGTTGAAGAGTCGAACACAATGTACCTCATGAATGACTCTTTTTTTCTACCACATCATTCAGAAAACTATGATGAATATAATCCCTAAACAACAAGCTTTTAGTAGTTTAATACATGGGAATAATCGTTGTAATTCAAAGAGAAAGGAGGGTTTATGCAGATTTGTAACTTATTTTGATAGTTCACATTTCAGACTAGATTCATCGTTCCTATGCAAAATTGAAAGCCCAAGGTTCGACCCTTAATGGTGATGTCGTGGATGTACATTAATCAAATTTTGTTGATAAATGAGCTACTATAAGAAATGCTTTGACGATCTTCGTATCCGTTAATTATTTTCAATTACTGGATAGTAGCTAGTAGGGGGGGAGATTTAGAATGTGAGTTTTTTCCCTAATCAAAACTCTTCATTGAGTTGAATGCTAAATTACAGAAAGTCACATATTTCCTTCTTAAAATAAGTGATAACTATCATATGTTGAGAAATACGTAGAATACAGCATATATCACCTTTATGTGAAACATAATTCTTGCATTCCACCCCCATGAACTATCCAACATATCAGTCAGTCAGTCAGTCAGCTACAACGTACGACCAGGCAAATATATGCATCGGTCCAAGTTACCATACCTCATTAACACAACAAGATGAACACCGGATTCATAGAAGTAGTTAATTCAGAGGTGGTAATATATAAAAGGAAGATTGCAATAAGGATATAGTACATGAAGAAGGAATTAGTTCGTAGAAAGAAAGATATGAAGTGATTTTAATCTATTAGTTTAAGGGAAGACAGAGAGTGTATACACCGACACCATTGTGATCGATTCTCAGCCATGTTACCAAGAGTCTCTAACCATTGGTTACGATAGTCACGCGGACCCAACCAAGTAGTCTGCATCTATCAACATGGCTCAGACTAGAAGTTAGTGAGTTCAAGCACTGATGCCACATTTTGGTTTGGCCGCCCCGAACTTTCTTCCAACCAGGCATACGTAACACGTGGCCCAACATATATATCCAACATATAATCAAATCCTGTTATATTTTGTAAACAGTTGTACGTTTTCCGTTGTTAATGTTTATGAAAGTGGGATTATTAAATGGATTTCTCAATATTACATTTACCTACAAGTGTAGATCTTAAATACTAACTAGTAGTAAACTTCTACACAAGCATTTCATCCTTTTATTTTTTTTAGACAAACAAGTTAAGCGCTGACTAAATGCAACTCATGATATTATTACGGAAAGAATAGGGAAACAAAACCATACCAATAAAAATAAGTATTCTATTCATTATACAAGTTGGTAACTACTGTAACTCAGTAGTTTAATGTATAATGTATTACTATGTATAAAGTCATTATTACTACTATCCAGTTTCAATGTAAACATTCATATATTATTATGATATTCTGAAAGTACCTGAACTTTGTCGAACATGTTTCACAATTAATCACTAATGATGGTATAAATATTATTATATTAGACATTTTTCCGAAATCCATTTAGCCATGTCGAAAGTGAAGTACTGAATTACTGGTGATTTCAAATCATGATTGAACTAAACTTTGAATCGATTAATGTTGAAAACACTTAGTTAATAAAATGTATCATTCTTTAGGCAAAACCTGAGAGTTTGAGGTTTGATTCAGTATGGAATATCATGTGTTTGTAATACCTGTGAGTTTTAAAACAAAAACAAAAGACAACTGTTCCCATGCAAGGAAAAATTATCAGTGTAGGGTTGTGGACTTACGTCACCTATGACAAAGGCAAGATATCCCTCTATGAATTAAAGGACGAATATACTGCGCAGTAGTTCGTTCTGTACTACTTTACGGATGAGAAACGTGGCCGTTAAAGTTAGAGGATTCTTGTAATTTACTATTATTTGATGCCAGATGTCTTAGAAATATTGTTTGTATCAGCTGGGATCACTGGGTAAGTAATAGTGAGTTTAGACACAAGATATTAAGGGATGATGGCAAATCAGTTGATGAGATTGTGAATCTTCATCGATTGAGATGGTTAGGTTACGTGCTACGTATTCCTAAACACCAATTACCACAACGCACAATGCTAACTAGTGTTGATGATAGAATAAAGTTAGGGGCGACCAAACCAAAATGTGGCATCAGTCCACAAAGTCACTAACTTCTAGTCTGAGCCATGTTGATAGATGCAGACTACTTGGTTGGAGTCTGCGTGACTATCATAACCAATGATTGTAGTCTGTGGGCGACATGACTCAGAATCGATCACAATGGCGTCGGTGTATACACTCTCTGTCTTCCCTTAAACTAAGAGATTAAAATCACTCCATATCTTTCTTTCTACGAACTAATTCTTTCTTCCTGTATTATATGCTTACATGCATTCTTTCCTTTACATATTACTCATTGAGTTAACTGCTTCTATGAATCCGGTGTCCGTCTTGTTGTGTTAATGAGGTATGGCAACTTGAACAGATGTATATATGTACGTGATCCTACGTTGTAACTGACTGACTGACTGACTGATTAATTGATTATGATATCATTATGATTATTGTTTTTGTCATTATTCCAATTGTTGTATATATATATACTCAACTTTGATTTACTTCCTTTTTCTCTTTCTGATTTCATTCTAGTTACGTTCTAGATTAAGTGAATTAAATATTGATTATTATTATCATCATGATAATATAATGAATAGTTGGAATTCATTAAATTCAATTGAAATCAATCATGGTACAATTGTGAATCGATTTGATCGATTACATAATAATACAATTGCTGTTATTCAATTATTATGTCAATTAGCAAGACGTTTAGCTATATTAGATGGACAATTATATTATTTAAATAAAAATAAATATAATGATAATGTTGTATTATTATGTAATAATAGTAATAATAATAATAATAATGATAATTCATCATTATTATCCTATAATCATGTGACATCATTAACCTCTGGTACATCATCAATTCTATCAAATCACTTCTTGAATGATTTCAACAAGAATAATAGTAATACCAATCGGAATAGTAACTGTGAATTGGTAAGCTCAATAATAAGAAAATGTAGTATAGTATATATATATATATATATAGTTTATTTATTATGCTCATCATTAATTTATTTGATGAACATGAATTACTTACTTACTTACTTACGCCTCATACTTTCAATGAGACATAGGTCACCGACCAGCATTCTCCAACACACTCTATCTTCGACCTTCCTTTCAAGTTCTATTCAATTTCAATGGTTAAGATCATGAGTCAGTTGAAGCTAGACCACCATAGAAAACCTGGAAGCACTGGACGGCCGTTTCGTCCCATTGTGGGACTCCTCAGCAGTGCACATCCACAACCTCGCCCCCAGTGAGATTCGAACCCGGGACCTACTGGTTTCGTGCGTGAGCACTTAACCAGTAGACCACTGAGTCGGTATTCAACGGTGTTAATGTTTAACTTCAACTAATTCAATTGTTGTTTATTCTTCACATATCTGTTTCCATTTCTCAGTGTAATGTGTTCTTTAATCTTCCATTTTTCCTTTGGCCTTGAGGATTCCAGGTGAGGGATTGTCGTATGATGTAGTTGGATGCTTTCATCAATGTTTGTCTTATCCACTTCTAACACTTATTCCTGATTTCTTTCTTCACTGGAATCTGATTTGTTCTCTTTCACGGTAGGTTGTTGCTGATAATGTTTAACAAACGAATCCGAAGTATTTTGTGTAGACAACCGTTAATGAATACTTGTATGTTCGGGATGATGGCTTTTGCAGTTCTCTAAGTTTCTTCCTCGTACAACAGAACTGTCTTGACATTTCTATTGAATAGTCTACCAGCACCGCTATTGTAATTAGAGTTTAGAGATGTTGGGAAACACGGCTTAAAATCAGTTGTTTTTCGGCTTCTCTTACATTTTTTGAATCCATTCTTCTTTTTTTAAATTATGTGGTGTACTACTAATGCTGTTTTTTTGCTATCACTTACTACTATCACTACTGTCTTGCTATTCATCTTGACAACTTTTTCTGGCTTTGCTGATGTGATATAATATACTGGACGGATAAACCTGTGTTTGGATTTACTTTATTTATAACTGACTAGCTGACTGACATTTTATTTTGCTAGAGTTCACTATCATCTGCTTATAATAAAGAATATTTTGACTTGAATATCTAATTGCATAGAACCGAATTTGATTCATATTCACATGGAGAATAAACCATATATCATCATTAGTATATTAAGAACTGCAAGAGCATATTGAAAGTTTAATAAAATGAATTAGATCTGATAATTGAATATCATATGTGATAGAAAGGTTCAAAACGACTCATTAGAATACAAATACATAGAATATCATGCTTAGAGTCAAACGGTTAAACAACTAAATAAGTTATGAAATAATTTGATTATCACTAAGGGTAGAATATGTAAATTGGCATTTGCCAATAAGAGATTGATTGATTACAATTCTAAATGTCAATGAGAAAATTCAAACAAACAATACAGAAATGAATTAAAGACTTCATCCTATAGATCAATCCAGTTGCTATGTAGATTTAGTATCTAAATGGATAGTGTGATAGTGTTTGAAGCGAATGGTACTAAGTCCAATTCCCTAAGTGAACATCAACTCTCAGATAAAGGTGTATCTAGCTAACAAGTCCCAAAATAGGACCAAACATGCGTCTTCGATTCCATTGTTAGCCATATTTCATCTATTCGATAATAAATTTACAGTTTTTCTGATAAAAAATTAGGCAACCTGAATAATGAAACTCATTTAACAAAAAATCAATCAGTAGCTGAGTGGATGTCGCGATGCCGTTTGAAGCGAATAGTACTGGGTTCGAGTCCCAGAGTAAACATCAACTCTGAGATGCAGGTATGTCCAGCTGACGAATCCCAAATAGAATTGCACTGCTAACCACTATCCATTATTGCTTACAAAAAGCTTGTGAATTAAGGCATATGCCAATAACAGACTGATCAATTGCAGTCTTAAACCTCAATGGGAAGATATAAGCCAAACAATACCAAATGAATCAATGTAATTGTTAGGATTACGTAATACAAAGCAAAAAGTTTACTTTAAAATTAAGTGAACATTGAATTTTAACTTCTTTTATATGCCACTTAACGATTTAATTGACATATTCATAATATAATGAAGGATTTTTCCCATGGAAATAAACATAAATACCTAACTGTGAGAATGGTAATATATATGTCATATGTTAAATCTATCACTGAGATTGATCGCCTTACAATGTATTCAATCTTTAATCTACCAACACATTTAGATAATAGCGTAATCAAGATTTTAAAAAACACTTGTTATTTATCGATATATGGACATATATATATATATTGAATAATTTCTTTACTTACTTACATACGCCTGTTACTCCCAATGGAGCATAGGCCACCTACCAGTATTCTCCAACCCGCTCTATCTTGAACCTTTCTTACTAGTTCTATCCAATTGTTGTTCATTCTTCACATATCTGTCTCTGTTTCTCAGTGTAATGTGTTCTTTGGTCTTCCTCTTCTCTTTGGGCATTTAGGATTCCAGGTGAGGGATTGTCGTATGGTGTAGTTGGATGCTTTCCTCAATGTGTGCATTTATGCACACTTTCAATTTAACTCACTGAATAATTTGCATATATCATTACTTCTGATCAATAATAAGTATGTTAACATCTTACAGTGATTATTGTTAGGATGATTTATTGCAGTAGTAAGTTTCGAAGCTCAACATAATAATGTGGCTTCAAAAAATACGAATTTGTAATTCTTGCACATGAATAACCATTGAGTAGTGGACCATATCAGTCAGTCAGACACAACGTAGGACCAGGTACATATATGCAGCGATCCAAGTTGCCATACCTCATTAGCACAACAAGATGAACACCAAATTCATAGAAGTAGTTACTTCAACGGTACCTCTAACAGTACTCGATTGGCTTATATAATGTTTATACAGTCCTTTATTACTGATCAAATGCTATCGATCAAGTTGCAAAGTGGTATGACATAGAGTTTGTCATATTGAGATGTTAGGTTGTTAGAGTTAGTTGACAGTAAACCCTGTTTAACTTATTTTTTATGCTGATTAACACTCATTGGCAAGGCTAACCTACAATCTTAAAAGAACTGGTTCTACTTCCTGGGTTCGAATACGCGTTACCTGGCTACACTGTCTAGAACTTTACCACTGAATTATTTGTAGGACTATAAGACTAGTTCATTTACATCCACATGACATTAGTCACTATTCTGAGGCCAGTCCATTGTTAGTCTCTATCTGAATAGCTCAGTTGTAACATTTCATATCATGAAACTACGTTGCTTAGGTTTCAATCCCACTGAGGGCGAAATTGTAAGTGCTCTTTGTTGATGAGTCTAACTTAGTATGAAAAACAATTAAGACAATGTTTCGCCCCGACTACTAGTAGCCATCTAACCGCAATGAAACAGTAAATAAGTGATACTTAATGTGAGTTAACAGCCCTTCACATAAATGTATTATTATTATTATTATTATTTAAACACATAAACATTGGTACAAGAAGGCACCAAGTAGATATGCGCCACATAAATCATCCGATTTGTGTGTGGGCTGTGATACTGCCCAGATGCCCAGACAGATGCAGGTGGTTTTCTTAGGGGGCCACTCCCCGAGCCTTCCACCTGAAGGTCTGATCCACAAGGCAGTGGAGCATCGTAAGGAGATGCATTCCCATGGAAGCCGGTGACCAACAATTTGTTCATACGCCATTTGTTCCCGCAGGATACTGGAGCACATGTGCACCATTGGTTTGGAATCCGATTAAAGCGCCGGACATTCGCTTTTCATCCTCTCAGTTTCGTAAACAACACCCCCGCTACGAGAAGGCAGTGAGTAGGACTTCCCTGGTAGAGGCTGTATATGCGTGGCCGTGTGAGAGCATTTCGAGAGGGAGGGCGGACCCACCCCACTCTCGGCCATACCAGGGCATTTGGGTGCAATTATGTCATATCAATTAATTAATCAGTTTTTTTAACTACTGAATTATTAAGTGCTTGTGATCACAGTTACTAATGCTGAAATATCACGTTAACAACATTGATAGGGTAAATTATTGAAATATCTCAAGTAAGGGTATGTCTAAATAGTTAGCATTTAATTAAATGCTTTGTATATAATGATATAACACAAAAATGCAATCTAAATTAAGACAATCATAAATAATGAATTATTTCAAAGGAGAAAATAAACACGAAATTTATTTTATTGTTACTGAACAATCAATCACTTGGTATTGTTTATTTGAATCTTCCCATTAATGTTTAGGACTGTAATTGATCAGTCTCTTATTATTGGCATTTGTGCGTACTTTGCGTATTGCTTCGATATATTGCCTTAATTCACAAACATTATAAACAAAGATGGATAGTGGCTAGCAGTGGAATCCAGGACATGTATTTCGTACTATTTGGGACTCGTCAATTGGATTTACTTGCATCTTAGAGTTGATGTTCACTCGGGGACTCGAACCTATTACCGTTCGCTTGAAACACCATCGCGTTATCTCCTTAGCTACTGAGTCCTGAACTGAACATCTAAGATGTAACTACGGGATTAATACTTAATAAACAAATGAAACTTTTTAAACAAACTTACTTAATCTATATAAAATTTAAGCAAAACAAAAGCGCTTTAAACACCATACTGAATTATATTTCTTTGCGTTATGTCCCAATGAGAATAATGAATGGTAACTTTTTGGATCCATTTATGGACCAATACTACACGTATATTTTTATTGTATAATTGTTATGTAACTAAACGATTCATATTCATATCTCTCTTATTATGGGCTTTCTTTTGACCTATGAACTATTATTATACGATTTACCATTCTTGGATTATGCCCTGTCTATTAATTACATTTGGCTAAATCTTGTACAAATGTTATTTTCTATTTTATGGTACGATGTGGTCTGTTTGATTGGTATATAAACCCTAGTATGCTTGAGATACATGATTCATATTACAGAGGCTGAGATTAGTGTTCTTGCCTTAACTGGGTGGGCTAGACAGGAAGTTAGACCAATAAGTATTCATGACTGGTCGTACGGGTTTTACGTGTCATTGGTCCGATCAATAATTCACTACTCTCTAACTGGTGGCATCGTTACGTTATACATTAACAGGGCACACGGGCCACAAGTCATAACACTTTCCAAAAGAAAGAAGTATACTTTTGCCAAAATATATACAATTAATTTCTTTTAGGGAATGTGTAGAAATGTTTCACATATTTATATGGATCCCTTCAATGTATACACACTGCTTGATTCTAATTTCTTAATATTCAATGTTTGACAGTGATAAATTATATTGAAATTAAAATGAACAATACTATGTTCAAGTCCCAGAGTGAACAACACCTCTAAGATACATCCAAATGATGAATCGCAAATAGGACAAAATACGCTTTCTGAATTCCATTACTAACCATTATCCATCTTCAGACTTGAAGCAATATCGATGCAGTTCACACAGGATCCATATATTACCAATAATAAGAGACTGATCAATTACAAACCTAAACATCAATAATGAAGATTCAATAAATCAATATAAAAATCAATTTTATTATAACTTTTTTTTCTTTTTATTATTTTTTTTCTCTTCTATTTAGTCACAAATTATTGAACAACAAAAACGTTTAATTATACAAATTAAAGAAGCTCAATTATTACGAGCTGAATTAGAAACATGTCGACATCGTTTATTAGAAAGTATACCAGGTCATATAAAATGTGATTTAACACATAATATGATTGATAAATTAGGAAGAGATTTCATTCATGATAATAATAATAAGTCTACAACAAATACTACTACTAATCAAAATATTAGTAATCATAATATAACAGATTGTAAATTAACATCAAATACAAATAGAGAATTGAATCAACAAAATCAAACAAATCATACTACTACTACTACTACTACTACTACTACTACTACTAATGATAATAGTAGTAATAATAATAATAATGAAAAATCAATATCCAATAAAATGAATGAACAAGAAGATCAATTAAATTGTCAACAATCGATTATGAATACAACACAATTACTTAGACAACGTGTTACAGAACATTTAATTGAATTTTTAAATTGGTTTGTATTATCACAAGTAAGTTATGTAATAAGAGTTGTGTTTTTTTTATTAAATTTATATATACATATGATGCAGTTGAGATAAATAAAATTGTTCAACCAGATCTGTTGTGAGATATCAACTCACTGAAGATAATGGTATACGGTGGCGCAACTTCGTGGATTAGTTGAAGTTAAACATTAACACCATTGGATTCCGGCTCAGTGGTCTATTTGGTTAAGCGCTTGGCGCGAGTCTGATAGGTCCTGAGTTCGAATCTCGCGGGGTGCGGGATCGTCGATGCGCATTGCTGGGGAGTCCCGTACTAAGACGAAACGGCCATCTAGTGCTTCCAGGTTTCTCATGGTGGTCTAGCTTCAGTTGACTCATTATTTCAATCTATGCAATTTCTAAAACCTCCACAAACCCCTTCTGATAATAAATAAAATTGTGTGTAGATTTTTCTTTTAATTTACCATTAAAAAAACCGGGAGAGCGACAGGTACCTATCACGGTACAATGGAAGATGATCATGCAATTTCATAGATTAGTTGAAGTTAGATATTAATACCGTTGAATGTCAGCCGGTTCAGTGGTCGAGAGGTTAAGTGTTGGCGCGCAAGACCGAAAAACTGTGAGAGCAATCGTGAATGAGCAGTGCTGAGGAGTTCTACAATAGGATGAAATGGTCGTCTAGTGCGTCTAGGTTTTTACTGGTTGTCTAGCTTCGATTGACTCATTATCTCAATAAGAAACTGTGTATACATGTTTCCTTTAATTTGTAACTTAAAAAAGAGTGATCGTTAGGTTTGTATTTAAGAAATGACGAATTGTAGAGATTGTAGTATTGTAACAGTTGAATTAATGAATCAGTCGAAGCTAGATCATTATCGGAAACCTGGAACCAGTGGACGATAGCTTCGTCCTATTATGGGACTTCTCATCAATACCCATTCGTGATCCCACAGCAAAGAGACTCGGACTAAGTACCCTCGGTCTTGCGAGAGAACATTTAATATCTAGATCACAGAGTCGGCATCCATCGGTAGTAGACTCTAACTTCAATCAATCCATGATCTTGTGCAAACATTCATCCATTGTCTAAGGTAAATAACTATTTCACATTCAACATGAGTTGAACTGAACTAGCCATGGCTTCTCATTAGATCTTCAGGAGTTACATCTTGAAACTAGTCACTATTGAGTGCATGATTACTATCAGAATAGGGATTTGTGGAGATTATACTAAGTTTAACAGTTGACCATTGAAACTTAATCCATGTTACGTGTCAGAGAGTTATCCACCTCAGACAATGGATGAAGAGTTGCGCAAGATTATGGATTGATTGAAGTTAGAGGTTAACATTGATTGATTTCAACTCAGTGGTCTAGATATTAAGCGTTCTCACTTGAGACCAAGGATCCTATATTGCAGTCTCTTTGGTGCGGAATCGTGGATGTGCATTAATGAGGTGTCCCATACTTACTACTTACTTATGCCTGTTACTCCTCGTGAAGGAGCATAGGCCACTCACCAGCATTCTCCATCCAACCCTGTCCTGGGCAATCCTTTCTAGCTCCGTCCAGTTGTAATTCATCCTTTTCATATCTGCTTCTATTATCCGACGCAATGTGTTCTTTGGCCTTCCTCTTTTTCGCTTCCCTTCAGGGTTCCAAGTTAGGGCTTGCCTCGTGATGCAGTTTGACGATTTGCGTAATGTATGTCCTATCCATTTCCATCGTCTTTTCCTAATTTCTTCTTCAGCTGGAAGTTGGTTTGTTCTCTCCCACAGAAGGCTATTGCTGATGGTATCCGGCCAGTGGATGTTGAGTATCTTGCGTAGACAGCTATTTATAAATACTTGTACTTTCTTGATGGTGGTTGTTGTAGTTCTCCAAGTTTCAGCTCCATACAGTAGAACTGCCTTGACGTTCGTATTGAAGATTCTCACTTTGATATTGGTTGAAAGTTGTTTTGAGTTCCATATGTTCTTCAATTGTAGGAATGCGACCCTTGCTTTGCCGATCCTCGCCTTTACGTCTGCATCTGAACCTCCTTGTTCATCGATGATGCTTCCTAGGTATGTGAAGGACTCTACATCTTCCAGAGTTTCGCCATCAAGAGTGATTGGATTGCTGTTCTCCGCTTGAATTTGAGGACCTTGGTTTTCCCTTTGTGTATGCTGAGGCCTACTGATGCAGAGACTGCTGCTACACTGGCTGTCTTCATCTGCATCTGTTCGTGTGTACGTGATAGGAGGGCTAGGTCGTCTGCGAAGTCCAAATCGTCTAATTGATTCTGAGCTGTCCATTGTATTCCGTGTTTTCCTTCAGATGTCGAGGTCTTCATAATCCAGTCGACCACCAGAAGAAAGAGGAAGGGAGAGAGTAAACAGCCTTGTCTGACTCCAGTCCTTACTTGGAATGCATCTGTCAGCTGTCCTCCATGCACTACTTTGCACTGTAGTCCGTCGTATGAGTTCCGGATAATGTTGACAATCTTCTCAGGAACTCCGTAGTGTCGAAGAAGTTTCCATAATGTCCTCCTATCTACACTGTCGAATGCCTTTTCATAATCAATGAAGTTGATGTATAGTGATGAGTTCCACTCCACTGATTGTTCGACGATGATCCGTAGTGTTGCAATTTGGTCTGTGCACGACCGATCCTTACGGAATCCAGCTTGTTGATCTCGAAGTTGGGCGTCTACTGCATCCTTCATCCGGTTCAGCAACACTCTGTTGAAGACTTTCCCTGGTATTGACAGTAGTGTAATGCCTCTGTAGTTTTCACATTTGCTCAGATCTCCTTTCTTTGGAATCTTGACGAGGTGTCCTTCTTTCCAGTCCATCGGCACTTGTTCCTCCTCCCAAATCTTTTTGAATAGAAGGTAAGCATGCTTGTGGTTGCTTCGATGTCTGATTTCAGTGCTTCAGCTGGTATGTTGTCGGGTCCTGCTGCTTTCCCGTTCTTGATTTGTCTGACGGCCATTCTAATTTCTTCCGTCGTTGGTGGGTTGACATCTATAGGAAGATCTATGTGTGCTGCTTCGATGTCCGGTGGATTCATTGGAGCCGGCCTATTCAGGAGTTCCTCGAAGTATTCTACCCATCTGTTACGCTGTTGTTGAATTTCGGTGATTGGCTTGCCTTCTTTGTCTTTGACCGGCCTCTCTGGTTTACTGTATTTCCCTGCTAGTTTCTTCGTTGTATCGTGAAGCTGTTTCATATTTCCTTCTCTAGCAGCTTTTTCTGCCGTCGTTGCTAGTTCTTCCACGTATTTCTTCTTGTCGGCTCTAATGCTCCTCTTCACTTGTTTGTTTGCTTCTATGTATTCAGCTTGTGCTTGGACTTTCTCTGCTCGTGTTCGGCTGTTGTTAATTGCTGCCTTCTTGTTCTTCCTTTCTTTGATCTTGTCCAGTGTTTCTATAGAGATCCATTCCTTATGATGGTGTTTCTTTAGGCCCAGAACCTCTTGACACGTTGAAGTTAATGCTTCCTTGATGCCTTTCCAGTTGTCCTCCATAGTAGTTTCTTCTTCATTCAGTAGATCTTGTAAGGCTTGGAACCTGTTGTTGAGAGCTATCTTGAATTCATTGAGTTTGTCAGTATCTCGAAGGAAGGCTGTATTGAACCTTTGTAGTGCTGTTTGTCCACTTGTCCAGTTCTTTTTAGCTTCAGTTTTAAATTGGCTACAACTAGGTGGTGATCTGAAGCTACGTCAGCACCTCTCCTGGTTCTCACATCTTCCATTGTCCTTCGGAATTTTTTGTTGATGCAAATATGATCTATTTGGTTCTCTGTAGTGTGGTCCGGTGAGATCCATGTAGCCTTGTGTATACGCTTGTGTGGAAATATTGTGCCTCCTATGACCAATTTGTTGAATGCACACAAATTTGCAAATCTTTCTCCATTTTCGTTTCTTTCTCCCAGTCCATGTCGTCCCATAATATCTTCATATCCAGTGTTGTCTATTCCGACTTTGGCATTTAGATCTCCCATCAGAATAGTTAGGTCCTTTCTTCGGCATTTCTCAATGATTGACTGCAGCCGCTCGTAGAACTGATCTTTAATGTCGTCGTTGCTATCATTGGTGGGTGCATAACATTGGATAATATTCATTAAGATCCCCTCCTTCTTTGTTTTGAATGATGCTTTGATGATTCTGGATCCGTGAGACTCCCATCCTACAAGTGCATTTCGTGCTACTTTGGACAGCATAAGAGCGACTCCCTGAGTGTGTGGAGCATTGTCCTCCTCGTGACCGGAGTATAGCAGCATCTCTCCCGTAGCTAGCCTTTTCTGTCCAGCTTGGGTCCAGTGGGTTTCGCTGATTCCCAGTACTGCTAAGTTGTATCTCCTCATTTCCATTGCTATTTGACTGGTCTTCCCGGTTTCCCACATTGTTCGAACGTTCCATGTACCTATAAAAATTTTTGCTCTGGTTGTTAGAAGGGGCATCGGCCTCGTGGCTTCCGAAGGAACTCGGCTTTCACCATGAAGCGTCATAATTCTTCTAACTGAAGACCTTCTAACTCCCAGGGCAGAGTTTAAATGGTTTGAATAATTTTTTCTGGTAAGCGTTTTTTTAGCGAGTTAGTTTTCTACGGGATGGGGACGCTAACCCCATGCCCAACCCTCCTCCTTTATCCGGGCTTGGGACCGGCAGTAACCCTGTTAGAGCTACAGGCGGAGTTGAGGTGTCCCATACTAGAAGGAAAAGGCCCTAAAACAGTGCTTCCAAATATTCGTTTGTGGTCTAGCTTAGATTGACTCATTAATTCAATTAATAATATTTATATATGTTACTTGAGAATTAAACTGAAACTTACTGAAGTTCACATAAAGCTATCAACTATTAATGGTAGATAGAATTTAACCAGTATTTCATGTTTTAAGGATTCATTCAAACTGTCAGTTTCATTTAAGAATTACAATTATAACTGATATCATGTCAAAAATAGTGGAATAAATTCAACAATGATCTGAATGTTGTAAAACATTTAAAAAACATTGTGAAAACTAATGATGATGGACAGTGGCTCATGTTAGACATCAACACCGTTGAATGCCGTCCGGATTAATGGTCTAGGAGTTAAGTGAGGCAGGATCTTAGGTATGCACTGCTGAGTAATCCCGTAATAAGACGAAACGACCATCCAATGCTTCCAAGTTTTCCATGGTAGTCTAGCTCTAATTGACTCATGAATTCAATTATAAAATTACTATAAATCTCCACAAAACCTTCCTTCTAGGGAGGTTTATGTAAAATTTATTGAACAATCAATTCATATCGGTTAATTTATTATGTTGTATCACAAATCGATTAAGTATGTAATTATACCCGGGGATATCGACTCACAAATTCTAATGGGTAATTATTCTCCATCAAACTTGAGGTTTTCGGATTTGAATCCTAAGTTAGTCATACTTGTACATTGTTAAAGACTCGAATATTGGGATAAAGAATATTTTTAGTGAGCTTTGATTTTCACTAGTATCCTAATTAAAGTCAATCTACAAAGAATACAATATTAAAATAGTTATATTTAACAAATGTACATTTCTCTGTTAAGAAATACTTTAAATTCACCGGATGTTACACCATTAGTGAAGTATACTTCAGATTAAATAATATAAGATGTTAAAAAAAACACAGCTAATTTTCACTTTATTGTACTACTACTACTACTACTACTACTACTACTAAGAATACTACTACTACTACTACTACTACCACTACTACTACTACTAAGAATACTACTACTACCACTACTACTACTACTAAGAATACTACTACCACTACTACTACTACTAAGAACACTACTACTACCACTACTACTACTACTACTACTAATACTACTATTACTACTAATAATAATACTAGTACTAATACCATTAAAACAAATAAATCAATGAAAGTGAAGTAATATATTGTTAATATATAAATGTATATCATACTAACTGATACATTGTTAACACAAAGTCAACAACTATCAAGGTTAAGATGATTGACATGAAAATTTTTTTTAAAAACCGCTAAAAAAGTTACTATGATGGCAAATAGACAATAAATTGAATAGCTCTTAACTAGCGGAATTATTGTCTTAGTTACAACGGTACAAAGTGATAATATGAATCTATCATAAAATGGAATCATAATTTATAATTGTAATTCAAATCATTTTGAAGTATTCCATTTTCTCTTACTTACTTACCTACTTACTTACTTACATCAACACTTACCTACTTACTTACTTACTTACTTACTTCAACACTTACTTACTTACTTACTTACTTACTTACTTACTTACTTACTTACTTACTTACTTCAACACTTACTTACTTACTTACTTACTTACTTACCTACTTACTTCAACACTTACTTACTTACTTCAACACTTACTTACTTACTTACTTACTTACTTACGCCTGTTTCTCCCAATGAAGCATAGGCCGCCAACCAGCATTCTCCAACACACTCTGTATTCGGCCTCCCTTTCTTGTTCTGTTCAATTGTTGTTCATTCTTCATATATCTGTATCCATTTCTCGGTGTAACCTGTTCTTTAATCTTCCACTTTTCCTTTGGCCTTGAGGATTCTAGGTGAGGAATTGGCATGTGATATATTTGGGTGCTTTCATCAATACGTGTCCTATCCACTTCCATAGCTTCTTCTTGACTTCTTCCTTTGCCAGAATATGGCTTGTTCCCTCCTATAGTAGGTTGTTGCTGATAATGTCTGACAAACAGATCCGAAGTATTTTATGTAGACAACTGTTAATAAACATCTGTATCCTGTGGATGATGGCTTATGTAGTTCTTCAACTTTCCGCCCCATACAGTAGAACTGTTTTTCTAATCACGATTAAATACTGGTGAAAATTAATTGTAAATCAGTGCAAACCATACACTAAATCATAATGAGGAATTTTTGGTTCAAAAGAAAATTCTTAATTTATATGATATTTGGTTAGTACTAGAATTCAAGAGGCATATTTCTTTCTCTTTACTACTCGATTGAACGGATTTAAATCCGTGTTGATGTCCACATTGAAACTTAAACTCGATACTTATTGTCTAAAAGATTAAACTAACATTGATTGACCTGCTGAGTTTACATAATAACTAGATGGTTTAACAGGTATAAAGATTTTAATATGGTATTGTAATCTTTCATTATTGATATTCAGAAGTTGAAGAATTGTAGTCTTGACTATCAACAACAAGAAATTAAAAATACCTAACAAAAATAAATTCTATCGTCAGTTATCAGTCAGCTACAACGTAAGACCAATCACATATATACATCAGTCCAAGTTGCCATACCTCATTAACACAACAAGATGAACACCGGATTCGTAAAAGTAGTTAATTCAATGGTAGTAGTATATAAAAGAAAGATTGCATATAAGGATATAATACAGGAAGAAGGAATTAATTCGTAGAAAGAAAGATATGAAGCGATTTTAATCTCTTAGTTTAAAGGAAGACAGAGAGTGTATACACCGACGCCATTGTGATCGATTCTGAGCCGTGTCACCCACGGTCTCCAATCATTGGTTACGATAATCATGTGAACCTCAACCAAGTAGTCAGCATCTCCCAACATGGCTCAGACTAGAAGTTAGTGAGTTCAAGTACTGATGCCACATTTTGGTTTGGTCGCCCTTAACTTTCTTCCAACCATCTCCAACACCGGTTAGCATTGTGTGTCGTGGTAATCGGTGTTCAGACATACGTAATACATAGCACAACCATCTTAGTCGACGAATATTTACAGCTTCATCAACTGATGAATTAATTCTAAAGAATATACAATTTTTTAAAAGTTAAAGTGAAGAATATGTATCAACTTTCTGACCAAAGAATTTGATAAAACACAAGATCTGTATACTTAAACAAACCAATTTTAATGATCCAATACAACCCATATAATCAATGAATATCTTCGTACACTGATAAATATTTAGTTGAGATCTATAGAGTTAGTATGAAATCAGACATTGTGGAGTTGTAAAGAAGTACCCAGATGGGATAAGCCTAAACTACCACCTCTGAATTAACTACTTTTATGAATCCGTTGTGCATCTTGTTGTGTTAATGAGGTATGGCAACTTGGACCGATGCATATATGTACCTGGTCCTACGTAGTAGCTGACTGAAAATTCCTTGAAATCTTACATATATGAATATTCAAATTCTATTTATTCTATCAAAAAACATTTTGTTCTAACTTTTAATCTACCCCTTTCATGTTACCGCCAACTGTATTTATAAATTCACATGTACCTGCTAAAGCAGTTAGATAGGCCGAACAGAAAGGAGGGCATATCTTAGATTTTTTGAACATGTTTCAAAAAGTCTCCGAACAAGAGAAAGAAAGACTTTAAACATTGCAGTCATCAAACATCTCCTTGATACAGGAAATCAGGTAGATACCTTGCAATCCTTCAAGGTGATTAGTAAGCAGCCAAACTCCAATTTTCTGAAGCCGTTGTTATCAGGCGTTAAAAACTTGATCTATATGCTCAAAATGAGACGGTTATTAATCTTTTGTTGCCCTGGTGACAAATATACCTTCGTTGCATCTTAAATTTCTTTTTTTTTCTTTTTCTTTAAACTCTTCCTCACATTTATTACCTCATTGGGTTTTATTTTAACTCTCTTCCAGATTATTAATCTTATTTTATCAATTGAGCTCTACTCACTATATTCCTATCAATGTTTACTCATTATGTAATCATTGATTTCTGGCTATTTGAACTGTTGTCATAACCAATATGGTAGAATATTCTTTCACATATTCAGTCTATTAATTTTTATTTACACCCTTACTATACTTTACTAAAGTATCTTTAATATAACTTTCAACCAAACCCTTTCATCTAAGTAATTAAAACCTATTATGTAATGATGAGTTTTTAAATATCAAAGGTTGTAAGCAACTGATGACAATCAAACGAAATAGAAATGAATTCTAGCTATTCGATTAGAATCGTTGTTCTTGCTCTTTTCAAAATGATAAAGGAAACTATGTGTATGAAACTATCCTGATTATATTGAATTCATGTTCTAAATAGTGTAATTCATGTTTTACATATCTTTTAATCTGTCTAAGTTCATCTATATAATAATATAAATGTCTTAATAAGTAAATGTATAATCAGTTTATGATAATGAAACATACTGTCAGAATGGGATTTGTGGAGAGTTTTAGAAATTTCACAGGTTGAAATCATGAGTCAGTTGAAGCTAGACCACCATTGAAAACCTGGAATCACTGGACGGCCGTTTCGCCCTGGCATGGGACTCCCCAGCAGTGCGCGTCCACGATCCCGCACCACGCGGGGCTCGAACCCGGGACCCACCGGCTTCGCGCGCGAGCACTTAACCACTAGACCACTGAGCCGGCATCCAACGGATGTTAATGTCTAACTTCAACCAATCCACGAAGTTGCGCCACCGTACACCATTGTCTTCAGTGAGTTGTTATCTCACAACAGACCTGGTTGAACTCCACTGGTAACGACTTCTCACTAGAACTCCAGGAGTTTTTCTTGAAGTCAGTCACTAATGAGCAGTTGATTAGCTTCAACTGACTCATGATTTCAACCTGTGAAACGTACTGTGTCAATATCTATTACATATGGCTGATTAACTTCATTTTCTTATTGCATTACTTAAATTTATCAAAGAGACATAGTGTTTCAATAAAAGATTAACGTATATAATAGAAGGGGAGGGTTTTCTAGGTAGTATAGTAATTTCAATAGTTGAGATCATGAGTCAATTGAAGTTAGACTGATAGGTCCTGAGTTCGAATCTCCTGAGCACTGCTAAGAAGTCCCACAATTAGACGAAACGGTCATTCAGTGCTTTCAGATCTTCTATGATTGTCTAACTTCAATTAACTTATGATCTCAACTATTGAAATTATATAATAGAAATTGTATGAGTTTGTATAGTTTCTATGGAAAGTATGAATAGCTTCCTATAACATGTACATCATAATATATTCCTTTATATATTAATGATTTTATTAAAGTTCATTCTAAATACAAACTAGAATTATCCTTATCATTAATAAGCGTTTAAATCCATTTCATTGTACATATTCAGTAATGAATATGAATTACTTTGAAATACAGATATATCCAAATGAGGTTGGAATGCAAGTCCTAAATTTCACTGTTCACCACAATTTATTTATTATGATAATCGATATTGACTTTTGTTTTTCTTATCATTATCAATATTATTTGTAAAGATTTCACCTGATATCAGTTATCAAAGCCACTTGTTAAATCTCCTCAATCTCAATTGTATATGTTAAAGGGTTTAGTTAAGATTTTCATATAATTTGACGGTAGTGATTGCAGTCAGCTCGAAAAGAATAATAAAAATAACGAAGCACCGGCATGACATTTTTTTGTATTTCACTGATAAGGCTATTCCTCAACAATGTTGTTTATTTATTTGAACACATAAATATTGTTATAAAGGGGCACCAAATACATATGCCCCACACGTCACCTGATTTTTGTGTGTGTGTGTGGGCTTTGGTATTCCCCGGGTGACTAGACTGAAATAGTTGGCTTTCATAATGGGCCACACCTCAAACCTTCGACCTAAAGGTCTAATCCACATGGCAGTGGAGTAACGCCGAGTGATGCAGTCCCTTGGTAGTCGGTAACCTACAGTAGGTTGCTCAGGATCATGGTGTTTGTGCGTACAATTGGCTTTGAATCAAGGTTTTCCAACTCACTTAGGTGAACCCTTCGTATCTAACAACACGGTTAAAGCACCGGACATTAGATTTTCGTCCTCTCAGTTTCGTAAACAACATCTCCACCTCGAGAATGAAGTGGCTGGATAGGCACAGTCATATGAGAACACTTCAGGCGACAGAGTGAACTCCCTCAACCCTTGATCGTCTCAAGGCATTTGGCAACTGACTCCATCTCAATTCGAATAGTTTTATATCTAATTGTAATAACAGTTCAATATACGTTAACCTATTTATTTCTCTTTCAAAAATTTCTCTCTTTTTAGATATTTGAAACAGAAATCAAAGTCGATCAAGATTTATGGGAAAGTATTCAAGATGAATTAAGATTTGAATTATCCTATTAAATCTATACAATTAATCCTTATTTAATACTTACACATTAATTGTGAAGTATTTTTGTTGTTGTTGTTGTTTTAATTTATTAATAAATATGTACAAAAAAAAGAGAAAAAGAAAAAGAAAAGAAAAACACAAAGAGAATCTTTCAAAGTAAAAAAAACTAGAAATAGGGATTCAAAAAAAACAAAACAACCATCACCGCCACCACCATAACAACAACAACAGCACTCATGGTGATACACAAAAAATCGATTATTTTTTTGTTTTGTTTTTTCTTGATAAATGATATTCAATATTATTATTTAAAAGATTACATAACAATTTTATTGTTGTATTTAAATTCTTTTTTTTCCAAATCATTTTTCCCGCCTCTTTTTTTTGAAATTTTTATGTTTTTTTTGTATTTTATGTAATGTGATTGTGACTCGTTTTGTTTCTAACCATGATATTAACATCATTGATAATTGTTAACAATATAAATGTGTATATTCATTATATAGATATATATGAGGATTGTTTTGTCGTCATAATGAACTCCCTTCCACTGATACAAGCATATTTGTCTATATAGACGTACTTACTTAGTTACTTACTTACTTACACACACACATATACATACATACATACATACATACATACACATGCACACCTAATATATCATTCATTATATTTAGATGTTGTCAAATATATATATATATATATATACTCATTTTGTGAACTAATACTTTCCTTTTTAGTGTATCTTTGATAATGTTGTTTTGTTTGTTTGTATGTTTGTTTTTGAATTAAAATAATGTTGAAACTGGGTTTTCATCATAAGATGTCGTAACTCTTCTAAATGAAGATGTTCTAACTTCTAGGACAGATTGAGATCATGAACCGATTGATGTTAGACCACCACCTTTGGAAACCTGGAAGCACTGGACGGCCGTTTCGTCCTATTGTGGGACTCCTCAGCAGTGCACATCCACGATCTCGCTCGCAAGATTCCAACTCAGCGCCTTCGGTCTCGCGCGCGAACGCTTAACAAACTGGACCACTGAGCCGGCATCCAATGGTGATAATGTCTAACATCAACCAATCCACGAAATTGCGCGACCAACTTCCGTTGTACTGAGGTAGATACCTGTCTCTACCCGACATGGATTAGCTCCACTGGTCACGGCTTCTCACTAGAACTCCGAGAATTCTCTCACGAAGCTAGTCACTAGTGAGCACATGTTGATTACTAGTAAAGGGGTTGTGGAGATTATTAAGTTTTTGACTGAGATCATGAACAGAGTTTAAATTAGTTTTTCTGGTTAATGTCTTTATAAAGAGTTAGTTTTTTACGGGATAGGATCATTAACCCTATACCCAACCCTCCTGTTTTATCTGTGCTTGAGATTGGTAGTAACATCAAAGGAGCTCCAGACGGAGTTAAAAGCAAGCTGATTTGTATGATAATTCTGAGTGAATGTATAGTCATTATGTATATATATAAGGTTGATATTAATTAGATAAATGAGTTGATAGCTTTCATCATGAACTGAACTCAAATAGAGGAATAATTGGAAATCAGATAAAATTGGATAACTGTTTTGATCCTAGAATGAGATTTTTAATAAATTATTTCGGGAAATAGAAGCGGATATGAAAACGATGAATATCAACTGGAAACAGCTGGAAAGGACTGCCCAGGACAGGGTTGGATGGAGAATCCTGGTAGGTAGCCTATGCTCCTCCAAGAGCAGTAACAAGCGTAAGTAAGTAAGTAAGAAAGTACCAATGTGTGGTTCTGTCAGGGATTGAACCTAAATGATTCATAACTTGTGTACGAGTTTTTTGTTGCATTCACCTATATATTAGTCTACAAAATATACCAGGAAAGAATAAAAACACACTGTGAAAGTAAATTTTCATCATAAACTGACAAAAGTTAGAGCCTTGCATTCAAGATCATGGATGCGTATTGTTGAGAAGTTCCATACTAAGATAAGACAACTATCCAATGCTTTCAGGTTGTTAATGGTGGTTTAACTTAGATCGACTCATGAATTCAGTCGTTAAAAAAAAGAGAAAAACTTTTGAGTCAGAAAGAAATGAGCAAATTACATTCAAATTTAAAGTTTTCATGAAAATACAAGTTTGTACATACAAACATCATGTTTGTCAGTAAGTTTGATACATCCACGCCATAAAATTGAAATCTTATGATTTATAAGCAAAGATGGATAGTCACAATTGATTGATCACTGGGAGGTGATCAATCTCATGCTTGTCTAGTCCTTATTAGTGCAGATCGAATGCTATCGACCATGTTGCAATGTGGCCACCAGTCTAGGTGACTCGACACTGCGGGCACTATGTATTGAGATTAGATGGTGGTTGGCGGTAGTCAACAGGAAACCCTGGACCCGGGTTTCGTGCTACTTGGCACTCGTCAGCAAGGTGTACCTGTAATCTTGAGGGAACTGGTGCTCCCTGGCGGATTCGATCTCGTGTCACCCATAGTGCCCGCAATGTCGAGTCACCTAGACTGGTGGCCACATTGCAACATGATCGATAGCATTCGATCTGCACTAATAAAGACTAGACAAGCATGAGATTGATCACCACCCAGTGATCAATCAATTGTGATTACATCTCAGTCCTACAGGAGGTTAGTTACGGCTTGGATAGCTCAGTGGTAACGTCTCTGACTGTGCAGCTGGGTGACACGAGATCGAATCCGCCAGGGAGCACCAGTTCCTCAAGATTACAGGTACACCTTGCTGACGAGTGCCAAGTAGCACGAAACCCGGGTCCAGGGTTTCCTGTTGACTACCTCCAACCACCATCTAAAGATGGATAGTGGCTAGCAGTGGAATCCAGGACGCGCATTTCGTCCTATGGGAAGATACAAGCAAAACAATATCAAGTGAATTTAAATTCACCCGATTGCACAAGCAAGTGGCTATCAGGACTCAGTAGCTGAGTAGATAACACGATGGCATTTGAAGTGAACGGTAATGGGTCCGAGTCCCAGAGTGAACATCAAATCTGAGATGCAGATAAATCCATCTGACGAGTCCCAGATAGGACGAAACGGGCATCCTGGATTCACTGCTAGCCACTATCCATCTTTGTTTATAAAAGCTTGTCAATTAGAGCATTATCAAGGCATACGCACAGAGTGTACATATGTCAATAACAGACTGATCAATTGCAGTCTTAAACCTCAATGGGAAGATACAAGCAAAACAATACCAAGTGAGTCTTATGATTTACATTTATTCAACTACTGTCAATTTAATAGTAGTATCAATGAAGTTATATAAACAATAAGTAATCAAGTTCATTATCCATGAAGATTTCTTATTGAACAGTTAAACAGTCCCCTGCTTTTTTCAAAATAATTAACTTGCTAGCAAGTTCAGACGTTTTGTTAAAACGAACCAAATGAACTATAGAATATCATAAAGACTTGTAATAATTGTATGAATCCGTTGAGAGAATTATTAACTTATACATATTTTGACGGTGATAAGTCCAGTGCTTCCAGGTTTTTCATCGTGATCTAGCTTCAACTGACTCATGATCTTAGCTATTGAAATTACTATAATATCCACAAAACCCCTCCTGATACTAATCAGTATATGCTCACTAGTGACTGGCTTCAAGAGTTATTTCCTAGAGTTCTAGTGAGAAGCCATGACCAATGGAGTTCAACCGGGTCTGTTGTGAAATAGTAACTCACTTATGACAATCGTGAATGGTAACACAATTTCGTGGTTTGGTTGAAGTTACAGATTAACACCGTTGGATGCCGGCCGGCTCAGTGGTCTAGAGGTTTAGAGCTCGCGTGCGAGACCGGTAGATCCCAGGTTCAAATCTCGCGATGCGGGATCGTGGATGCACACCACTGTGGAGTCCCACAATAGGAGGAAACAGCCGTCCAGTGTTTCTAGGTTTCCCATGGTGGTCTAGCTTCAACTGACTCATTAATTCAACTATTTAAATTACTATAATATCCACAAAAATTCCTTCTAATATGTAAAACATTAACAACAGTTTGGTGAATCAAAAATGTTATATTCAAAGGAAGAATAAATGGATGGTAACTGCTGATAATTATTTCTGGACTATTATTATATATATATTCTTATTGGATAAGTATTAATTAACTAGATTATATATGTATATTCATATTCCTTATATCATTAGCTTTCATTTGACCTATTGGCTACGGTTATACGATTTACCATCCTTAATTTATACCCAATTTATTTGCTACGGTCTCTCACACTCTATTATGTCCCGATATGCATAATGAATGGTAACTTTTGGGATCTATTGATGGATCAATACTATACGCATATTTTTATCGTATAATTGTTATGTAACTAAACTGTTCATATTCGTGTCCCACTTATTATGAGCTTTAATTTGACCTAAGAACTATTATTATACGATTTACCATTCTTGGATTATGCCCTGTCTATTAATTACTATCTTCCACATTCATAGCCACATTTGGCCAAATCTTGTTTAAATGTTGTTTGCTGTTTTAGGGTACGATGTGGTGTGTTTGGTTTGTATATAAACCGAGTATGTTTGAAATAAATGATTCATATCACAGGCTGAGATTGGTGTTCTGGACTGTAACAGGTAGGGCTAGTCATGAAGTAGGACCGATGAACATTCTAGACTGCTCGTACGTATTTTGCGCGTCATTTGTCCGATCGATAAATCACTTCTCTAGTTGACGGTATTGTTACGTTATACATTAACATGGCACACAGGCTACAAGTTATAACACACTCATACCCACTTTTGGCTTGATCGTGTGTAATAATTAATTTTTTTCATTTTATGATGTAATGCCGTCTGCTTTTCCTGTATATAAACTACGTACGTATGAAATATACGATCCATACAGTGGAAATTAATATTTGCGTTCTGGACTGAACGGGCTGGGTTAGGTGATAAATTGCTATACAGAGGACCAGTAAGGACCCAGAGTTGGTGTAAGTTTGATAGTGTT